AAGTTTGATCTGATCGGAAAAATGCTGGTTCTTATTCATACACTGACGTTGGCACCCAGCGGATGCAGAGAGCCGGACGGAACCTACCGGGAACCAGAACAGAACCAGAGCAGAACCAGACCTCCAGACTCATCAATGAATCTGAGAGTTCTTAGCCAGTCCACGAGGACTTGCGAGCGTGGAGGCACCGCCGTAGGTCCAGCGTTCTCTCTGGAGTCCACTGGGACTTCCCCATCCAGATTTGGACTCAATCTGACAACCGTCTGGTCCCGTTCTGGCCATCCGAAGGTCTGAGTCACTCCAAAATGTGTTTCGGTGCTGAAGAGGTGCACAGAACCAGAGCAGAACCAGACTTCCAGACTCATTGGTGAATCTGAGAGCTAGCCAGCCCACAAGGACTTCTTGGCAGTGACGTGCCGCCTGTAGGTCTGGCATTCTCTCTGGAGCCCACCGCCACTACCCCAAGCCAAAACCAAAACCTGCAGGGTAGGTCTGCCAAAACGGAACCAAGTCAGACCAGAACTGAGCAGAACCAAGCTGCTGCTGTTCTGCAGAGCGAGAAAAATTTAGTAGCTACATATATGTATGTTGTTAAAATTATGTAGGTTTAAGAGTTTAGAACATTGCAAGAGCGTGGGAAGGGTTTATAAAGCCTTAATATATATATAAATAGTAAAATAGATATAATGTTCCTACTTCACATATTTTCAGTTATTGCGGGGGGGGTCCGGAACATAACCTCCGCAATAAACGAGGAACTACTGTATGCACAAAGAGTGAACAAACACAGAAAGGTGCTCATCTGGTTGGGCAAAACAGACAGATGGCAACAGTGAAGCATGAACAGTCAAATTCACATAAACGCAGAGATGAGAGATCTTGGAGAAACGTTAATCTGGAGGCCATTAGTTGTAAAGCCATGGCCTGAGGACATGCTGTAGAACAGAGCTGGCTTTCTTTAGGGGTTGCAATGCTATATATTATACTCCGCTGTTGCACTTTTGAAGTTATCAGTTATCACTAAAAGGTGTTCTACGTCACAATAAAAGGAAAGAGAAACTAACAGATCAAAATACAAAGCAAAGCCTGACCCCAACTAAGATCTCATCAATAACTACACCTACCTATTAGATTTTCCTCTGCTTTGAATAAAGATCAGTTAAGCATTAAACTGTGACTCCGTCTAATGGTATTGCTTTATCTGTGGGTTTTATGAGCTATAATGTTGCCTGGAGGTGACAGCTCTGCCCTGCATCATCTGTGCGGGGATGTTAATGAATGTTCATTTAACAAGTGTCTTTAGGAACATGTTAACATACGAGTCCTTGAAATGCAATACAGTACTTACCTCTATGGCCTCCTTTGAATTATTATAAAGCAGAAGAGAGGGAAGAAAAATCCTCCAGTGTGTGTTAGAGGGAAGTCGTCATGAAAGTCCTTTTAGAAAATGAATTACTGCCTCAACTGCTGACAAGAAAAATCCGTCGCACCAGTGAGAAAATATAATTAACAGTCACTGGAAGATTTAAAAAGTCTGAGACCCCCATATTGATTTTTGTGTTTGATTTACTGCATGCAAAATAACCTGTTCTCACCTTAGGACAAAGGAAATTTCTCAAAATCTGGTTCAGTAAATTATGACGTTGGAGGCAAGGTGAGCAAATGTATTGAATGTGCTTGTTGGAAGAACTTACGGGATCTGTTGACAGGTTTAACCAAACACTTGGACAAAATAACAATTCTAGAAAAAGCCAGAGAAAACGCAGAAACCAACTTTAGACAATGGATCACGCGGCAGGATTTCATTGGTGTTTTACTTGTAAACATTTGAACGGCTGTTCAGAGCTGGCTGACCGAGGTGACATTTACCAGATTGGGAAATATCAGGGGAAGATATCTCCCTCCAGGTTTGAACTGTGTGCAAACTTTTTTTTTTTTTTGGCAAACCTCCTCAACAGCCAGAAGAGAAGTCAGAATGGGTTGTAAACTCAGAAGTGCACTTTGATTCGTTGCGCAGGACTGGAAATCTACATTACCTCCACTTAAATCTGAACTTCATTCTGAACTGCAGAGGCTGTTATTTTAAACATAGTCCCACGGTAACTCAACAGACAAATGGAGCTAAGCGTGTGAGGTGTAAGTTCAGCCGGACAGCTAGAAAGCACTGCAGTGCTAATATAAAGCACATACGCTGTCAATACACTGCCTACTCTTTAGATTTGCTAAGGGACTGAATTTTTATGGGAGTGCAAAGGGTGAGAGACGAGCAAGGGTTTATATTTTCTTGTTGCTAGGAGTGGTTTTTGAGCTTATTTATCCTTTTTGTAAACACATTTGTTCTTTGTTTTTCTTTTTTTATAGCTAGATTATTGTAAAATATGTTGAAAAATGTTTATTGGATAACTCCCTATGAAAACTAATATGATAGATTTTAACACTTTGTCACATCAACATTTAGCGTCATTTGTTTTTTTGTCATGTATTTTCCTGATTATAATTACTAATGTGTGTGAGTGATGCTGCTGATGCTAGGTTTTTATTTGCTCAAGGTCGCTGCTGGTTAAGATTCAGTCTGTAGTGCTCATGCTGATCAGTGCTCTAATATTGATTTCTCACCTTTTTTTTCTTTACATGGCTAAAGATGCTCCCAAAATAAGTAAAGCTCATATTGTTTTTGAGACTGCTTCCCATTTCTTTGCAATCATTAAGTCTTTCAGCACATGATCAAAGTTTAATGGTGATGACATGAGGACAACGTAAGATGGATAAGAGAAAAAGCTAAAAACAAAATCAATACTGTTTTGTTTTTTGTCCAAAGTATTATTGGACATGCACAAAGTTGGTCGCTATCACAAGAATTCTTTAAATTTTGTTCACGGCTACATAGCCTATTTTTTAATATAAAAATCTTCATTTCGCAAAGCCTTTGTAAAGGTTGTATATTTTTAAGAGGTACAAACACCTCAGAAAAGTTCGTTTTGCAAAAACACTATATTAGTGTGGCTAAATCCTACGAAAAATGCTTATCAGCTGTGGTTCTTGCCTATAATATTACAAAAATGTATCAACCTTCCCAGGCTATCTAAGCTTCTAGACACACATTAAGAACTTCTAACAATGCATAAAGTTTTTCAGGATTTTTTATTTTTATTTAGCCATGTCCATCTTGTTTTTGTCTTTCTTCCAGTTAACAAAAACTACTGACATGAATAAAACCAGTTCATTCAACTATAACACTACAGCCTATTAGATTAAGATAGTTTTCTCTGACCCAGTGGTGATTTTAGCCTCTTTTTCCCTAAATTTGAACTAAGCACTCTTGAAATATTAAGAAACCATAATTCAGATTTAATAAGCAAGCTCAGTTCTCAAACTTTAGATTCAAGAAAATATCGAATAAATTTGGAATAAAAATGGAATAAATGAAGACACTTAAATGTGCCCGTGAAATCTATGATTTTTGTTGTTGCACAAATCAGATCCTTAACGCCCTCTGTCAATCACTACAGCAGGCTTGTCATCGACTGACCAATCGGCGACCTCAGTTTATCCCGAAGTGAAACCCCTCTCACCGGCAAGAGCTGCACCCCTCTGACGACATTGTCGGGGTTTGCATTATGAACGCTTAGCGATAAGAGGGATTTCATGAATAATCATCAGTAAAAAAATGGTTAAACTTTGTCAGTGGAGAACATAATTCAGACAGCATTGTCCTGAGCATTTAGAAAGTGGAATACAGTTTATTCCATTATAAAACCTAAATGAAGTTTGGAAAAATTTAGTTTTTTTATTTTATTTATCATGTCCTGGATGACTGAGAAACTTCACCAGTGTAGTTTGTAGTAGGCAGTATTCGACCGGGGGTAGGGTTGAGCTGTCATTTCTAACCCGGGCCCAAAGCACGGCCCAATCCGACCCAAATTCAGGGCAGGCCGAGCCATGATAATGTGCTGGATGGGTGGGCCGTGTCGGACTTTTGATTGCATCAGTGGATCAGCCGCGATCCATTTATATGGCAACATGGCTTGCTATACCTTCACCAGCCGCACATGGCCATTTCATCACGAGCTGACTGACCTTGAAAGAGGTAAAATAAAGTTTAGTTAATCTTCAGATGGGACTATACTGCCAGAAAGCGATCCATCGCCCAAATGGACATTCATTCAGCCGCTGCACTCAGCAGACATACTTGGCCGACAACCCAAGCAGGTGAGATTACAAAGAGACATGTCAGAGTGGTCTTAATGCAGAATGCAGAATTCAGGCAGAAGCAGGGATTTAATGCACTTTGATGGCCATGAAAGGACAAACACCCCCTCAGCTCTGATCTTCTGCCCCTTTTATTCAGCTGCATGTCCGCCGACCATTAATAACTAATTAAGCAGTCAAAGCTTAATTAAAACTGTTGGGGTGGGGGTGGGGTGGGTAGTTGGACCTGTAATTACTGTTAATTTGTTGGATCGGTTGGGGTTCGTAAATGATGGCTGCGGGTTGGGGCCAGGTCAGATTGGATTTTTTTGGGCCCAAATGTAACTCTAGGTTGGGGTGGTGGTGTTGGGATGCATGAGAGAAGTGGCACATGCTCTATTCAGGCTACTTCTCGTAGCCTGACCAACAGCTCTCCTTGTTGCTTTCGTGTTGTGCCAAGCTCTCTAAAGTAGTTATTGAATCAAGTGTTGCTTATGTAGGTAAACATAGATGCTTAACAACCCATTAAAATACACCAGAATTCTGGAAATTACATTTACTTTATTCAAAATCTTCTGGGGGAGAACCCCCAGATCCCCACAACAGTGTATCCCCTCTGCATTACAAATGCTTCTGACACCAATGGCTACCGTGTTGTTCAAGCCAAGAGCCATTGTCATCACTGGGGGCTGAGCACCCCTAAAGGTCAGATTCTAGAATTGCCCCTGCTCTGACCTCTGCTCCACAGCTACATGACAAACACACAGTTCTAACATGGACTTCCATTTCTCACATTGTCATATAGCTCTTACCCAGAAGTGTGATGATGCAGCCCAATGTAGCCAGGAGGGCACCAGTGCTCAGACCAGTCGCCGTGTAGGCCACCGCTCCACATGAAAAGGCCTCGCCGTTGGAGTCGCACTCACACACACGCACTGACAGTGTGTTTGTGCTGCTGAGGGAAGGACTTCCACTGTCCGTAATCAACACAGGCAGTTGATACACCGCCTGCTCGCGTCTCCTGAAGCCGCCTCTCTTTGTCAGTATGGATGCTGTGTTGTCTGCAAAGGCAGATATGTCATATTATATTAATCAAACAGTCATAGCCAGCAGCAAGCTTTGCTTTGTAATAAAACATTTGCTTTGGTTTTACATTGTAAAAAGTCTTTGCAGTATTTAAAAAAAAATAATGCTCATAAATTAATAAACTTTATTATAAACTACATGGTGGTGTTTCTCCCTGGTCCTGGCCACCTGTTGACTAATAACAGCTTAGCTTTGACAATATAAAAACAACAAAACTTTTATATGAAAGAAAGCTAAAAATATTCATCTGTATTGATATATTAAAATGTGTTTCTCATTCTATGCAGGCATTAATAAATGTAGATTTGCCTAAAAAAAAAATTTAATGTCCATGGGGGTTCTTAGATTGGGTTCAGAAGTTAAAAGAAGAGAGAGATTAATATATAAAGGGAATTTATTATATTTGTTCCCTTAAAATTGATAAATGAATCACTGTTAAATAGGTTGGATAGGAACACCCAAGTTCATGCTCATCATGTTCATCCAGGTATAAAATCCAACAATGTTCAGTCAGGTCATCTGGATGGTTTCTATTATTTTATTTATTTATTTTTTGCTGAGACCTTTCATCCTTCGTCCAAATGACTTATTCGATCTAAGGAGCCACCAACAAACAAGACTGATTCTCACAAACAGCATACTCCATAGCGAAAAAAAAAAACTGTTTGCTGGTGCTAAGATGGCCTCTGTGGCCCGTCCTCTCCCTTGTCAACTCCTCTGAGACAGTCATGCCAAAGTGGTTCCAAGCACCATAATTCATGCTCAGTAATCCAGGTGTAAAATCCAACAATGTTCAGTCAGGCCATCAGGACGGTTTCTTCAGTCAAGTCATCTGGACGGTTTCAGACAGGAATGACTGTCACAGAAGAGTTGACGGGGGAGAGAGCGGGCCCCGGAGGCCATCTTAGCACAAGCAAACTTTTTTGGGGGTGGGGGGGGGGGGGGGGGGGGGGTCGGGGGGGTGTTCTACTATGGAGTATGCTGTTTGTGGGAATCGGTTTTGTTTGTTGGTGGCTCCTCAGATCAAAGAAGTCCTTTGGATGAAGGATGAAAGGTCTCAGCAAAAAAAAAAAAAAAAAAAGAAAGAAAGAAACAGTCCAGATAACCTAACTGAACATTGTTGGGTTGGACGTTTTACTTGTTAAAACAAAATTAAACATTAAATACATTTTTAGGTGAAGGAGACATAGAAATGAAAATAAGTTAAGAACAAAAGTCTTATATTATTAAGTGATTGTTCAACGTGGTGTTCAACACCGCTGCTGCTTCAATCTACACTTATATTCAATATCATTTATAAAGTTTTGGAAACAGACTGCAGCACTTGTCTTACTTTCAGGAATACAGATGTTTGTGTGGTCAGACTTTAGGCATCCCGCTTTAGTTTGCTGTCACTGTTTACTGTTAAAAGTCCACCACACTGAATGAGGATAATTACCAAGAAAGAGATTTTTTTCTCCTTTAAACTGAAAAAATATTACTGCTGTGAGATGTTTTCATTACTTAATCCTGTCATACCTGAAACCTAAATGAGCCCTACAAAGAGTAGATAAACTACATTCCAAAAATGTCATCTTTGACAGGAAAAAACTTGTGGTAAGATTATTCAGATTAGTTAGTTTAATCCTCTTGAGCCCTTCATGTGCCATGATTTTAAGTGATGCTACTTAGTAAATTGTGTTTTTCTTAACCAAATTGGACCAAATTGTACGAAAATCAAGTTTTGTTCAAATTCTGGGTGTAAAGTTAAGCAATCTTTTTTTTTTCAATTTTTTTTTCCAGTATACTGTGCCTGTTTTGGTCTCCAAACACTGTAAGGTGTACTAATACAGTTTTTTTTTTTAATATAATCATAATATCAATGGTTTAGTGCCCAAATACTTTCTTATAAAGCAATGTCAATGTTCAACCTTTCCAGAATATTTTTCACAATCCTACATCTAGCTCACAGAGGTGTGACTGTTGGCAACCAATTGTAACTTAGAGAACGCTCAGAAAGTTTCTCTCCATATACCGAAAATTGTTACCGTTGTCTGAAACCCACCTCAAACCCTTTTCAATTTAATAAAATTAAGTCAGACCCGCTGGACGTTTTTTTTTTTGTGTGTGTGTGTTAAAAAAAAAACTATGTTCAGTCAGGTCATCTGGATGGTTTCTTTTTTTGTGTTGAGACGTTTCGTCCTTCATCCAAAGGACTTCCTCAATATGAGAAGCCACCAAAAAAAGAAAAAAAAGAAAAACTGATTCCCACAAACAGCACATTCCATAAATTCAAAAAACGTTCAATACAAAAACAACTGGACTTTATTTGTAAAACATTTTGGTCCTCAAAAAAGTGTCCCTTATCTTTGAGGTGGAGGTGAAAAGCTGAATCTTGTCCAGAGGAGGTGGCTCTCCTGTGTTGAGTCATGTGTCTGTGAAGAGGCTGTTTAGTTTCTCCAATGTAGAGGTCTGAACAGTCCTCGCTGCATTGGACCGCATACACTACAACACTCTGTTTGTGTATGGGTGTTGTCTAACTGACAAAATGTGCACATTTTGGACCGAGAACACAGATGGTTTGAGAGGGGGGTGAAGGAAGCAATTCATGTAAACAGGGAAAAAAACATCCCTTAACAGAGGAGGAGGCCTCAGATTTCCACTTTCAAAAACCTATAATGCAACTTCAAGACAGATTCCCAGCCAGTTTTCACACTTGATGGGAACAGAGGGGTCTCACCTGTGAATTAGAGTAACAAAGACCTTAAGAAACCCCTACTGTTAAGGTGTTGAGGTGTGACATGTCAAATCTACATATGTGTGTGTGTCTTATCTCACTCAGCCTTATAACCTGAATCTCTCACTCACTGCTCATTGAATTGAGAAAGCTCCTCGGATGAGGAGCGAAACGTCTTCTGTTACAAATAAAGTCCAGTTGTTTTTGTATTGAACGTTTTTTGAATTTATCATGTCCTGGATGACTGAGAATCTTCACCAGCATAGCACATCCCATAGTGGAAAAGCACAGTTTGCTGGAGCTAAAATGGCCTCTGGGGCCATTTTATACCTGGATTATTGAGCAAGAACTTTGATGTTTGTGTTGAAACATTTCGTCTTTCATCCAAAAGACTTCATCAGTCCGAGGAGCCACAACAAACTCAGTCCCACAAGCAACACACTCACATAGTGGGTCAACTGGTTTGATGGTGATAAGATGGTTTCTGGAATCTGCCCTCTCTCATGTTGACTCCTCTGAGGCAGCCATAGCCAAAGTGGTTTAAAACATAAAAGTTCATGCTCAATAATCCATGGCTATGGCTGCCTTAGAGGAGTCGGATGGAGAACTTTACTAATTGGCTTTTATGTATGTGAATGTTTCTGTAAAGTGCCCTGAGACAAATTTGTTGTGATGTGGCACAATATAAATAAACTGAATTGAATTGAATTGGAGAGGGTGGAGACTCCAGAGGCCATCTCATCACCATCAAACTGGTTGACCCACTATGTGAGTGTGCTACTTATGGGAGTTTGTGGCTCCTCAGACTGATGAAGTCTTTTGGATGAAGGACGAACTGTTTCATCACAATTAAACTGTCCAGATGACCTGACTTAACTTTTGTTGGATTTTTACCTGGATTATAGAGCATGAACTTTGACCTTTTCAATTTAGTTTCCACGTGTCACGTTAGATTTGTGCTTTATTGTGATTTTATTTAGTCCTTGTTGTTTACTTTAGTATACTTTTCATGGTTTCCTTTGGGTTCAGTTTTGTTTTCTTTTTCTGTTGAGGTCTTTTGTGTTTTTGTATTTCGGTGTCGGGGTTTTCTTTCAGTATTCTGGTTTAGGTCTTGTCTAATTTGGAAGTGTTTCTTGTGCCGTCATCTTTTCACCCTCAGTAAACCTCCTCAACATCCTCCCAGTCACCCTGCCACCCTCACTTGTCTCCAATCAACATTCATCCCAGGTGTTCCCACTTTCAGTCCCACTCAGTTTGTATTTATATGGTTCTTTGTCTCAACCTCACCAGCAGCTCATTATCCCGAGTACGTGTCAGATGTCTCGGTCCTCCTCATGCTCCCCCATGACTCCCTGTGATTTTTTTTTTCCCCTCCTGTGTTTTTGTGTGTTGCCGCCTTGTCAGCTTTTTGTTTTTGTTCATTTAATGTCATTTTTTGTTTTACTCAAGAGCCTTGTGTCTACCTGCATCTGGGTCCAAACCTTACCGACCATGACAAGTCAGCCCCGTTAGACAATAATGAGAGTGGTTGGCAAACAAATAACTGATATGAGACATAAAAAGAGACTAAATTGAGACATAATGAGGACACTCTATGACTAAAATGCAACAATAAATAGTTGCATATGATTAGCTGGAAATGCTGCATGAACATTTCAGTTTATTTAGTGCTATGTGCTGTCATCATTGTATGTTTCCAAACAGTGATGAAACTGGTTCTCTGCATTTAACCCATCACACCTGATATGCACCCAGGTGGAGTGGTTGGTAACTATGCGGGTGCCTGGGGAGCGATTGGGGATTTGGTGTCTTGCTCAGGGGCACCATGACATGCGGTAATGGCGGGGAGTCAAGCTGCGACTTTCTGGTCCCCAGTTGGCTGCCCTACCTCTACCCCATCTCAGCCGCATCATATTAGTCATTCTGTCCATTCACAAAGATGCAACAAGTACCATTTTCCTGTGAACACAAGTGAGCATTTGCTCATTTCTTTGCAATTTTTTGTCTCCAATTGGTCACAACCATCAGAGCTCATTGAGGCCTAACCTCACCCATATTGCAACTACCGTACATTTTTAGCTCTAGAGACCTGGGTCAAACCTAGAACTGCTGCTATTAGTTATTTGTAGTTGAAATACAGAATATGAATCCAATGACAGGACTAGCATTATTCACAGATTAAAAAAAAAAAAGAAATCTGACACATGAAAAGCATGCTTAAACCCATCGTGCTACAATTCATTTAATCTCAAAAGGACCAAAGCAATGCACAATTCAACTCAAGCTAATGAGAAAACCATTAAATCTGATCAAAACTGCAACAAGACTGGCTGAAAGAATCTGATAGACATGAACTGCAATCATGAGTTGTCAATTGACAAGCCCTTGTTGTTATAAATGGTAAATGGACTGTACTTACAGTATATAGCACTTTATCAAGACACTCAAAGCACTTTACACTACAATCTGTGTTCTCATTTACCCATTCATACATCATTCTACTAGATCTCCTCAAAGCTAATTGAACAAATCATTCTAAAGATACTAATCAATGATTTTAGATCACATTCATACACCAATGGGACACACATCAGAGGCAATGAGGGGTTCAGCGTCTTGCCCGGGGACACGTCAGCATGTGACTGCTGGTGGATTCGAACACCCAAGTCTTGCATTGGAGGATGACGGCTCTAACCATTCACCCACAGCCGCCACCAATGTGGTGGATATAAACCTCAAATACTCATGAAAATGCATAATTGTTTGTTTTATCTCCTGTAAAGTAATCAAAGCCTGTGTGACTACGTGGGCAATATGCAGCTTGAAGATTGGAATTTTCTAAACATTTACTACTTAAACTGCAATAATTAACAGAATTGTTTTATTAAACTCAAACATGTTATTACCTCAAAGTAAATATCACTGAAGAAGTAGGAAAATTGACCCAAAGAAGAAAAAAAAAAAATCCCCACTACTGGACAGTTTCATTTCCTCAAGACCAAAATACTGTATGCAGTGTAAACACTACCTGCCTTCAGCAAGCTATCAAAAGCTCTACAATCAGAGTTATTGCCGATAGGCTGGGAGGTTAGTCCAAACATCCAGTTTACCGAGTACTGTGAGTGCACTCACATCGACTACGCAGGTAAAAACCTGGCTACTGTTGCACCTTGAGAAAGGTAACATGACAGCCTCCACCAATCTCCCACACACACATGGGCAACACAACACAGGGCATCACCTCAGAGAGTCTATCAGCTCTGCACAGGTTTCTTTTTTTTTTTCAAAGCAGTGGGGATTTGTGGTGGCGCGTAATGAAGTCAAGCAGGAGTCTTTAAAGCTCTATAGAAAATGAAATTTAAGTTTGCCGCCCACTTTTTGTGTGGAGGTGGTTAAGAGATTATGACAGCACAAAAGCAGTTTTCAACTTGTGGGTTAGGGTGCAGTTATTTTGGGGACTAGAACACAAATGTCATAAACTATATTGTATCTCAAAGTGGGCTGTTTCAGAATGGCTGCAGGAAAATGTACAGAGGGGTAAGTTGTGAATCGGAAAGTGGATTGTGAGCTGATATGGAGAAGTCAAATGAGCAATGGGCAAAGAGTTGATTGACAGATCCAAAGAAAGTCAGCAGCAAACAAACTGTACCTATCTTATCCAACACATTTGACAGTTTCTGAAATATTCTGTCAACTTCTTTCAAGGGCAGATTTGATTTTACTGCAGAAGGAAACAAGGCTGCTCTGACATTCAAAGCTTTTGACAAGTTGCATGCACTTCTTATAGATTTAAATTGTTTTATGAAACTTCCCTTTTAACTTGTTAACAGTGAGTTCTTTGTCAAGCAAAAATATACAAGTTACCAGCGTTTTTTAATTATTTTATACCAAACTATCCCGGGACACCTAAAGAGGAGTAAACTTAAGCACCGGTAAGCAGCTTTCCGATTTGGCCGTTCATCGGACCTGTGCTAAAACGACAGCTGAAGTAGCATTAGCAAAGCTCACTACAAGTGTCAAGATGCATCGTTCAAAGTCATAAAGATGGAAGGTAGCTTTAGAAAGTCTTGTCTAAAAACACACTTTAATTCCCTGACTTTTGAAACTGTGAGTTGATTTTAACTTGTCTGTTTACTCTAATGTTAGTCATTTAGTTCTTATTTTCACCTATTTGAATCTACACATTTCATCATGTATCCTTTTCTTGTTTTTGCTGTACAGCACTTTGGCTGGTCTTGTTGCTGTTTTAAGTGCTTTATAAATAAAATGGTAAACTTTACACTTTCCAGAATTTGTCATGGTAATTATACACGTCAATACTGTGGTACAAACTTTGCCGAATGAAAGGAATTTTAAGAGATTAACCTATAAGAGATTATATTAATCCAATAAAGTTAAGTCTGGTCCTCTGGACAGTTTCTGTTTGTGGACTTAACTTTGTTGGATGTTTTACCTGGATTATTGAGCATGAACTTTGATGTTTTGAATCAATTTGGCCATGGCTGCCTCAGATGAATCAACGGGGGAGAGGGAGGGCTCCAGAAACCAATTCATCACCTTCAAACTGGATGACCCACTACGTGAGTGTACTATGCACCTAGACAGGACAGGCAGCACTGTAAGAGTCATGTTCTTTGACTTTTCCAGTGCAGCTACAGCGTGCGCTCTCAGGACATTATTACCTGCAGTGTTCCCTCAGTGCAAACTGAACTAGGCAAAAGGGCCTTCTCCTACTCCGCTCCTGTTTCATGGAACATCTTACAAAAAGATCTGAAGCTCTCGACCTTGACCTCTCTAAGTGGCTTTAAGAATCTGTTGGACTCCTGGCAGGGACCAATGCAGACATGTTCCTGTTTTTAGTTTTCTACATTTGCCTTAGAATCTAGCTGTTTTTTGTTACTTTTCTTTTCTTTTTCCTTTTTTTTTTTCCTTTTTAGCCATCCTATTAGTTAAAAAAAAAGTATGACTTTTTATAACTGTTTATTTTTGTCGCTGTTGTCCATTGTTGTCATCATTCTTTGTTGAAACCAGGTCTCTCTTGTAAATGAGTCCTCGAGGCTCAATGGGATTTACCTGTCTAAATAAAGGTTGAATGAACAAGACCTGCTCTACTCTTCAGTAAACTCCTGTATATGCAGGTGAATGACTCGCTGGTCACCTGGATCGGAGAACACCTCACAAGTCGGCCACAGTATGTGAGGCTGCAGAACACCCCCTCGGACACCATACTGAGCAGCACAGGGGCTCCTCGGGAGGGTTCTCTCACCATTTCTGTTCACCCACTACACCTAGGACTTCAGGTACAACTCGCAATACTGCCATCTGCAGAAGTACTTGAATGACTCTGCCATTGTGGGCTGCATCACTGGTGACCAGTAAGCTGAATACAGAGGTGTGGTGGACAGCTTTGTGGAGTGGTGTGGACAGAACCACATGCAACTCAACAATGGAACAACTAAAGAGCTGCAGGTGGACTACAAGAAGAAGATCAGCTCCCCCAGCCCTATCAACATCAAGGGTGGACAGCTTACACCAATGCCCTCAACAAAAAAGGGCAGTGTCGCCATTTTCTTCTGAGGAGACTCAGGTCATTTAATGTCTGCAGGACCATGATGCAGATGTTCTACCACTTGCTGGTCTCTAGCATCTTCTTCTACACTGTGGTGTGCTGGAGCAGCAAGGTGAAGAAAGCTGATGCCAACAGACTCGATAAGCTTATGAAGAGAGCTGGCTCAGTTCTGGGAGTGGAACTGCAGTCTCTGACAGAGGTGTCTGAGTAGAGGATGAAGAGGAAACTGCTCCATATCCTGAACAACACGTCACACCCCCTGCATGGCACACTGGACCCTTACCGCAGCACCTTCAGTCGTAGACTGAGAGCATCGAGGTGCTCCACAGAACAACACAGGAAGTCCTTCCTCCCTGTGGCTGTCAAACTCTTCAACTCCTCCCCCTTTCTGCACATAGGACAATAAATTTAATCCTGCACTACAATGAACAATGTCTCTGTCTGCACCTGGCCTGTTTAGATCTTAATTGCAGGTATTTTTATATTCTCAGTTTTTTTTTTTTTTTATATCGTGTGTGATTTGTGTGTATAGTCCTTTGTACTGAAACTCTGGCACAGCAATTTCTTGCAGGATCAATACAGTCTTATCTTATCTTATCTTATCTTATCTTATCTTACTGTATGGGACTGAGTTTGTTGTGGTTTGTCGGACTGATGGTGTTTTTATGACAGACGAAACATTTCAACAAAAAAAAGAAGAAACCGTCTAGAGGACCTAACAACTTTGTTGGATGTGTTACTTGGATTATTAGGCATGGACTTTGAAACATTACATTCATTTTTACATTGCATTGATTACATTTGATCTTTTGTCCTTAAAAATGTCTTAAAATATTCCCACATCTGTAAATGTGAAAAAAAATATTTATTTGATTTTAAAGTGAATATTCAAATCTTTTGTGAAAGTATTTTGAAAAGGTTAGATTTAGTTAATAGATTTTCAATGTTTTTTTGTTTTTTTTTCTCAACCAAGAGATTTCAGTTTGATCCAATAAACTGGTAAAACAGTGTAGTCTGAGAAGTACATCAAAGAGTCCCACTAAAGGTTGTCTCACCTTTGTTATCCCGCAGTGTGAAGTTGAGGTTGCTTGCGACAGGTGCATCCAGGGCAAAATAAAAGCGATGCCCGCTCAAAGGTTCATCTTTATCCACCGCACTGATCGTTTGAAGCACCTAAGGATGAAAAGAACAAAAAAAAACATTTAAAATCAGTAGATTTGCTGATCTTTATCTGATCCCACGAGCTCAGCAGGTGTTAACCAAAGGTGTGCAATTTTATACTGTGTTCATGTAGGTCTTGTTCCATGTCGGTATCGCTTCAAGCAACACAAAGGCATGCAATTTTCATTCATCTATCACTTTTTGTCCATAGTCAATTTATACACATCAAGGCATGCACTTTGCTTGAATAGTCAAACAAAATAGGAATTCAATCAGAACAAAATAATAAGAAAGCAACAATACTGTACTGATTGACAAAAGAGCTTTGTGTTATAAGAGTTGGCTTTGGATTTATGATATTTATTTAATGAAGTGCCATAAGTGCCTATTTGGCAAGAGTTTGGCAATGAAGTGTTTTCTTTTAGAAAGGGATTTCAACAAACTAAAAGATCATACAGAGATTTATTAATTTTATTTTTTTCAGTCCCTGGTCTCAGACCACAACACAATCAACATGTTCAATTAAGAGAGAAAGCATCAAACTGTTAGAGAGCACAACCCAGCCTTTCATGATGCAACACAAAGAAACAAAATTAAAAAGGGTTTGTATTTCTCATTGCCAACTGATCGCTCATTTTTAATCAAACATTTAAAATGTACTTTTAGGGAAAAGCCCATTTCTACAAATGCGGATTCCAATTAAACCAAACAAGCTTTTTACACATGCTGTACATTTAAAAACAAATGTGTGAGTGAAACCACATCCTTTAAAAGAGACTGAACATTTCTTACGTATATTTAAAGTTTGGGGCTTTATTTAGCGGTTGAGAAAGACAGATTTAATGTATTTTTGGAACGGGCTGGAAGTGGCTAAAAGTAGCTGCAGATTTTGACACTTCAGTGAAAACACTTCAGCATAATAATGCCGGAAATTGAGAGCAAAGTGATGTATTATGGGAAGTGCTGTGCAAACCGTTGTTCAAGTTGAGAATTTAGAGAAACGTTCTCACCTTTTACAGCATTTCGGTCTAGATGTTTCAGACATTCTGAACTCAGTGCAACATTGAGGATTCAAATCTTAAAATATGTTCTGTGTCAAAAGCCCAATATATGTATACAGTATATACTTTAATTTGTAACCTAATATTGCTGAAAATGAAACAAGGCAAAGCAATCTCATGTTTGGGTGCTGATGTAGTGAGGATACTCCTGTCCAACTCTGCTTTCAGACACAAATTTACTTTTTAAATATGCATTATTGAGAAATTATTTAAAATTTATTTTTGAAGCAGAATAGGTAGGTAATGCTATTTTGAAATAAATGTTAACAACAAGGTAAGAGAGTTAGCGTGTCTACCAGTGGTCAGCTACTGCAGATTATACTGAGAGAGAAAACCCCAATTAGACAATTAATTTGCTAACATTAATTAGTAAGGCTCCATATTTTATATTACAAGCAGAAAATTGACAAAAAATGTCATAATAATAATAATAATAAAATACACAATAAACACTTTTACTTCATTAGTTTATTTAAATTTGCTAATATTTTTTGTTTGTTGTTTTTTTTTTGGTTCACTATTGTATACATTTGTAAGAAATAGTATTTTATAACACTCTGCGGGCCTTCTGTTTAGCTGGCTGAGTGTGTGTGTGTGCGTATTTCTTAAAAAAAATTAAAAAGGTAAATAAATAATAATAAAAAAAAATACACACATATATATATATATATATATATATATATATATATATATATCATGTGACACATGGACAGCACGGTGGCTCAGATGGTAGAACTGTTGCCTCTCAGTGAGAAAGTTGCCAAATCAAATCCCATCCGGGGCCCTTTCTGAGTGGAGTTTGTATGTTCTCACCCTGCATGTGTGGGTTTTCTCCCACAGACCAAAAACATGCATGTTAGTCTGATTGGTAACTCTAAATTGTCCCTATAGGTGTGAGTGAGAGAGTGAATGGTTGTTTGTCTCATGTGTGTTTATGTGTCCCTGTGATGGACTGGAGAACTGTCCAGGGTGTCCTCCACCTCTCACACAGTGACTGCTGGATATAGGCACCAGTGACCCCCAAGATCCAAAAAGGAATAAGTGGGTAAAGATGGATGGATGTGACACATTTATTTATTTTTTTATTCTAAAAATGGATTATGGTGAAAATGTAGTATTTTGCTCGAAGTATTCATAACATCAGATTTATTTTTTTATTTTTTTTATTTTTTAACCAGTCCTTGTCTCTTTGTTTGTAATTATAGAAATAAATAAAAGACCAACATAACTACAGCAGCAATGCTTATTTGCAGAGGGGAAATTGGTGGATCTTTCTACTCCATTCAGAAGACACAATCCAAGCGTGTGTTGCCAATATCTGGCAATCCTAATAACATGAATATAGACACAATCTTTTGATTTTAATATCTCAGGCACCATCAAAACTGCTAGCCTTGAGCACTTTATTAAAAAAAATAGCTTCAGGTCAATCCACTGCATGTAGTGATACTAACGCTGTGCAAAATAAACACATACGCTAAGCAGCCGGGCACGTCTACATCATTATTAAAAATGAAAATGACTCAAGATAAGGACTGCTCTTGCTTGAGGCAATGCTGGACAAGCATTCATATCTGAGTTAAATAAGAGCATTTTGTTTATTTTGCCCCACTTTTTCTGCCTCTGAATGTACGACTAAAAAGTATTACTCCTTTCATTATATAACTGTGTTGACAACTATAAATTTTGCAGGAAACATAACCAAATAAACCAATTTATTTACACCCACCAGCATGTATGCGATGATTATTTTATTCTTACAAACACACTTTTTGAAAATCAAGTTATCTCCTTTCAGCAGAAAAAGCTTTCATTTCAGCAAGAAGCCGCAGAGAGGAAGAAAGGGAAAAATTTCTCTCAGAACATGCTGTACATGAGAGGCACATCACACACCAAGATGCCATATGGATGACAAGTGATAGCCACCGGGACAGCCATCAAAGTGGGTGTTACTGCAGCAGTGTCCTTGTAAATTTAGATCAAGCTTCTTGAATCTTTAGAAACTCAACCCTGTGACAATGCGCACCCATGGATGGCATCCAAGATATTCTGAGAAACATTTCACACTAAATTATCACATCTTCCAGCCCCAAACAGCTCTTTGTCTAATATCAGGATAAAAACAAAAGCGAACGAGGAAAAAAGTAAAAGGGCGAGGAAGAAGATAGAAAAAAAAGTCAATGATCCATCAGCGATGAGACATGGATTATCAGTTGTCAGCTGTGATTAAACGATGTTGGATGCAATCTGTCAGGTATTAAGTGTTTGTGTAGGTGGCAAACGACATCCTGCCAATTATTAAAACTGGCAAGCGGGGTGAAAACTCATGAATATCTTACTTGATTTCTAAGGCAAAAATTGAAATTGTTGGCGTTTCATCAGAAGATGTATAACCCTTTGTTTTAGAGATCAGTTCTGCAGAGCAACGGGAATTTGTAAAGGTGGGGCAGAAATATGAAAAAAATGAGGTTATCATCTGCAGCTAAACAACCTTTGAAATCTTTGTATAAACAGACAGAAGTGATGTTTGTGTCAGCATCAGATCAGAGCCAGGCAGATGCAACAATTGAGCACCCAAACATGCATCATACGCACGCTTGACTGCATATCGCGAAAGCCGCCATTGATCTTGGGATAATAACTCACATGCCCCGCACTCTGTTATGGAAATTCCACATCTGATAGTAAGCTTTTTTCGGGTTCTTAACACCGACAATGAATCCTATACACAATTTGAACCCTTTGATGTCCTTTGAATATCACAGGTGGATTCTGAGCTTATCTCGAGGAAAGGTTTCCGTTTCTCTCTGCTGAGGGAAAAGGACTGTAAATCATCCCTAAATCAAACACTTTGTAATGTATAATGCCTTTCATTAGTGTAGCTCTGATGCAAGGCATTCCGGCAAGCCTTTGGTGGGGAATCCTCTAATGGGTTGAGTAGGAGATACGAGGAAAGAGCCATGGCTGCAGACATAAATTCTCACTGAAAGACATTAACTGCAGCAGCCGACTGGTGCCTGTCGCAAAGGCACGACTGAGGAGGCCTATGAATCACCAATTTAAAGGATTCTTGAGTTTACACTTGGCTGCATGTCAGATCAAGAGGATACTAAAGGAAATGGTGTTGCTTTTTCTTGCTTTGGAGCAGGGAGTAGGAACATTTGTCCACAACAGATGCTTGATGTGGACACATTTATGAGTGCAGGAGAACTAGTCAGATCATTTGTTGACCTATTTAGTTGTGTCCACTGAAATGTAGCCCTCAGTCTAATCAGATCATGTGCAAATGAGTGTCATAAAATTTATGCTACACTTTGTCACTGTTTGACTCAACATTTGTAACAAGTTGTGTATGAGCTTAAGCCTTTAAGGTAGTATAAAATATTCAGAGTGGGATGCTATCACTGCCTGATACAAATGACCATATGTGCTACATATTTGAAAGAGATTGTGATTATTATTGTTATTATCATTGTTTCTTTTCTTTTTTTGTGTGTGTGAGAAATTTTGGTTGTACAGTTGAAGTGAATGTGTATGGCTATAATGATATTGTTGTGTCAGATTTTCCTCCATCGCGCTGAAATGATAAAATGCAGAGAAAATAACTTTCTAGTTAAATATCTGAGTTCAGAAAAGGTAAATTAGAGAAGTCTATCTTTCATGTCTGACTGAACAATGTGACTGATGTAGGTGGTATACTGAGTAAATATTTGAAGAAAATTAAAGGATTGTTTGAAGTTATGCAAAGACAAATGTGTTCACATAGTCTTTAGAACATAACTAATGGGAATATGTCCAGATATTAAGCCTTTTTTTCAGATTTACTGCTTAATCCTTCCACTAGAGCAGTAAGCTCTTTAGGAACTTTGCATGTACAGTTGTTTTTGAGGTCAAAAATATGGAGCCAAATAATATTTTTTTAGAGTGTTTGCACTCCTTAAATTGCCACTT